GAGAGAGAGAGAGAGAGAGAGAGAGAGAGAGAGAGAGAGAGAGAGAGAGAGAGAGAGAGAGAGAGAGAGAGAGAGAGAGAGAGAGAGAGACCTTTAGTCCTAATCAAATCATCTTTCTGTTGTAGCAACCAAATGTCGATCAATCATCCCATAGTAGTAGAAGCCAAATGTCGGTCACCCATCTAAGTAGTAGCAGCCAAATGTCGGTCACCCATTCCACAGTAGTAGCAGTCAAATGTCAGTCACCCATCCCATAGTGCAAGAGTCACCAAGTGTGAAGCGGAATACTACCACACACATGAACTTGACAAGGTGAAGGTTGAACTAACGAAAACACATGCCCATGAGTGAAAGAGCAACCAAGTGTTTGAAACGGAACACTATGAACTTGGCAAAATGAAGGTTGAACTAATAAAAACACATGCACATGAGTGAGAGAGCAACCAAGTGTTGAAACGGAACACTACCATACACATAAACTCGACAAAGTGAAGATTGAACTAATAAAAGCACATGCACATGAGTGAAAGAGCTACCAAGTGTTGGAACGGAACGCTACCATACACATGTACTTGATAAAGTGAAGGTTGAACTAACAAATGCACATTCCCATGAGTAAAAGAGCAACCAAGTGTTGAAACGGGACACTACCATACACATATACTTGACAAAGTGAAGGTTGAACTGACGAATGCACATGCACATGGATAAAAGAGCAACCAAGTGTTGAAACGGAATACTACTATACACATGTACTTGACAAAGTGAAGGTTGGACTAACAAAAGCACATGCTCATGAGTGAGAAAGCAACCAAGTGTTCAGACGAACACTACCATACACATGAACTTGACAAATTGAAGGTTGAACTAACAAAAACACATGCTCATGAGTGAGAGAGCAACCAAGTGTTGAAACGATACTACATTACACATGAACTTAACAAGGTGAAGGTTGAACTAACGAATGCACATGCACATGGAGGAAAGAGCAACCAAGTGTGAAACGGAACACTACAACTCCCATGAACTTGACAAAGTGAAGATTGAACTAGTGAATGCACATCCACATGGATGAAAGAGCAACCAAGCGAGAAACGGAACACTACCATACACATGAACTTGATAATGTGAAGGTTGAACCAGTGAATGCACATACACATGGACGAAAGAGCAACCATGTGTAAAGGGGAACACGACAACACACATGAACTTGACAAAGTGCAGTTTGAACTAACGAAAGCACATGCACATGAGTGAGAGAGCAACCAAGTATGAAACGGAACACTACCATACACATGAGATTGACAAATTGAAGTTTGAACTAACGAAAGCACATGCACATGAGTGAGAGAGCAACCAAGTGTGAAATGGAATACTACCATACACATGAATTCACAAAGTGAAGTTTGAACTAGTGAATGCACATGCACATGAGTGAAAAAGCAACCAAGTGTGAAACGAAACACTACCATACACATGAACTTGTCAAAGTGAAGGTTGAACTAACGAATGCACATACACATGGAGGAAAGAGCAACCAAGTGTGAAACGGAACACTACAACTCCCATGAACTTGACAAAGTGAAGATTGAACTAGTGAATGCACATGCACATGGAGGAAAGAGCAACCAAGTGTGAATCGGAATACTAAACACGCATGAACTAGACAAAGTGAAGTTTGAACTGACGTATGCACATGCACATGGATGAAAGAGCAACCAAGTGTGAACCGGAACACTACACACTACAACACACATGAACTTCACAAAGTGAAGGTTCAACTAACAAATGCACATGCACATGGATGAAAGAGCAACCAAGTGTGAACCGATGTAGGGGCAAAAACCCTGACAAGGGTATTTGCCGGTGTTTTTGAACATCGGACGTTGTCCGACTCTTGCGTTGAATTGAAAGACTTGATGAGACTGACGTCTGCCAAACGTTTATTCAGACCAGCACTATGACTGAGAGATCTAAACCTTTTTAGAACCTGACGTCCTCAACGCAAGACGACATCGACGTCTG